CAAAAGTAATTTCCCAATAGATAAGTGGTCCAAGGATATAAACAAATGATACTCAAAAGACAAATTGCAAGCTATTAATAGCCATGTAAAGAATGCTCTAAATTACTAATAATGAGAAAAATGCAAATCAAAACAAGGCTGAAATTTTACTTCACACCCAGAAATCGCCATAAATGAGAAAAGATGGGAACATTTAGGGTTGAATGAGTTGTGAAATGATAAGCACATTGGTGCATTGGTGGTTGAGCTATGGATTAGTACAATCATTTTGGCCAGCAATTTAGAATTCTGTGAATAAAGTGACTAAAATGTCAATACTGTTTGACCCAGAGATTCCACTATGAGGCATATACCTCAAGGAAGATAATGATAAAAATAAAAAAGGCATGTACACCAAAGCATTTATAGAATAACTTTTGGTAATTGCAAAGTACTGGAAACAAAGAAAATGTCCATGAATTGAGGAATAACTAAACAAACCATGACACATGAATGTAAAGGAGTATGACAGAGCTGGAAGAAATGACATGTGTGATAAGTACAGAGAAGCATGAAAACAGCTCCGTGAACTAGAGAGAAGTCAGCAGAGCTAAGGAAATGATATACAAAATGAATACAACAATGGAAATGGAAAGAACAACCACCACAAAACACCTGAAAGTTGGAAAGAGAACTAACAGCTTGGAACAAGAGGTACAAAACTTTATCAGAGCAACGAGCTCACTGAAAATTAAAATGGTCTCCAAATAGAAGATAATGACTACATGAGACAACAAAAACTATTAAAAATAAAGCCAAAGGACCAAGAAACTATTATTATTAATTATGACTAACAAATACCTAATAAAATTAGGTCAGTGGCGCTCTCAGAAACCAAAGACTCCACCTGAAGAACGCTGAATGTTTAAAAAGCATAGAAAGTTTGAAATATGAGTCAAGAGAAACATAAAAAGGTAAATGTGAGTGAAGATGCATAGCAGGGATTTTAAATTGGAACATATCACTGCTAACCTCCAAGGCTAAGTCAGGTAAGATATGAGGTACCAATAATAAAACTAGCAATGAAAAGGTCTTCATTAGAAAACATTAGAAAAGGTTTTGATATAGAAAGCTGAGAAAGCTCAGGGCTTAAAGACACTGAACTCCAAAATTCTGAGGATTTGGCCTAAGTCAAAATTAGAGTTGATGTTAACAGGTGCTACAATATTTTTCAAAGTTTCAGCAGATGAAAAGTTTATGTATAAATGTTTTTTTTTAATTCTTTTTACTCCCTATCATTTCCTCTTTCCATGAATGAATATGAGCAGTAGAGTTAGAGCTGGTATAACAACATATAATAATACCAACTAATACTGTAAACAATGTGGGGAAAGAGAAATGGATATACATAGAGAAGGGTGCTGGCAAATAAAAAACTAAGAATAAATTTCTGGGCCTTTCCTTTCCTCTAACATATTACTTAATGCAAAAGGTGCACAAAATTAATATTAGAGACATCCACGGCATGATTTTCCTTTGATTTTGTACCCTTGTGGTCTTTTAAATATTCTCCATCTGAATACATTCTTTATTTTCTATTTTATTGAAAGCTACTAGTAAAGCAAATAAATAAGACCTGCTTTAGTTTTATGAAAAGAAAAGAAAGGAAAAGAAAAGAAAAGTGAATGCTGCAGAATTACAACTACCAAGTATGGCCAAAGAAAACATATTGAGAGGACATCTCCCTCAACCCTCCTGCAGGGAGGAGAGGTTTATAGGTGTAAAACACGGCATTTTCAGACTTTTGCAATATATTGATCAGTTTTACTGATTTGTTTTTCTCATCTTCCTATTTTTCTTTTCAAAAATATTCTTTGTTATATAAGAGGGCTCTCTGGAAAAGAAGAGGAGAGATAGTAGAGAAATTTAGGCAATGTAAAAATAAAAGATATTGGCAAAAATTATTTTAAAAAGAATGATAGTTTTTCCATAGTGTTTAATGCTTTACAAAGTAAATGTATATATATCCTTACAAAAAGCAGTGGGAGTAGTAACAAAACATTACCATCCCTATTTTACAGGTGAAAAAAAGACTATAGCCAAATAAAATGAAGTGACTTATCTCAGGTCACACAGCTAGTAAAGGACTGAGCTGTCTTGAGCTCATTTCCTGTAGCCACCTTCAATGTTCTTTCCTCAACATCATGCAATCAGAATTGAATGGCTCTGAGGGCTCTTCCTTAAGTTATACCTATATTGCTCACAAGTGGTCAACACATCAGAAGCAATAAGAAAAATGCTCCAAATCACTAATAACCAGAGAAACGCAAATGGACACAATCAGAAGGTTTGGACCTTACACCCATAAAATTCACTAAGTAAATAAGGGATGAAAATAGTGTATGTTGGAGGGACTGCAAAAAGACAGACCCACAGGTGCAGCATGTATTGGTTGAGCTCTGAATTGGCCCAACTCTTGTTGAAAAAATTTGGAATTATGTGAAGAAAAAGTGATGAAAATATATAGAACTATTGAACTAGTATTACTACAGCAAGGCAAACACTCCAAAGGTCTAGGGGAGAAGGAAAGCATTGAATAGGAAAATGTTCACAGTGCCATTTTTTCACAGTAACAGAAGCCTAGAAACAAAGTTGCCTACTGATTGGAGAATGGCTAGACAATTACAAAAATGAACAAAATGGAATATTTTATTGTCGTAAGTATTTGAAACTATGCAGAATTCTTAAAAAAAAAAAACTCTGATTCAGAGCAAACAAGGCAGAACAGAGAGAAAAATGTACATACTGGCCCCGATAATGTAAACAACCCAAAAAAAGTATTGGAATTGGAATTAGGGCAAAGACCAGTCTAGACTCCAGAGCTCTAAGGATGAAACAGGATAAAGAAACAAATAAACAATAAATGGTGAAGTCTGGAAATAGTATCAGGGTGCTTTACTTTTCTCCTCTCTGCTATAAGGGAGGAGCCCATGGAGCCAGGAAAGCCATGTCAAGAGGGGACAGTGGTGTTTGGGGGAAGATAGAGGGAGAGGAAAGGTATCAAAACAATTTTTTAAAAATAAAAATGGTTGTGACAGCCTGACCAAAGTATTGACAATTTGATTTTCCTTCTAGGCCACTTCCCCTAC